GAGCTTTCATTGTGACTTCATAAGTGTAATGCTGTACCAGGTGAGCTACCGAGCAAGTTTACTATATTTGAAAAGCCATACATATGGAGCTGGTTATGTGATGCAAATCACACAATGTATTAGTTTACAAGTCATGTGCTATGGTAATAGCATGTTGAAGTCATAACATAGTATTGTGGAAAGAACGGTGCAAAAATAAGTTTATTAATCGATAATTTTTGTAAAAAACGAATACAAGTTTTACTGCATCTAGTGTTCATTTCAGTTGGAAACTGCAGTGAATTGTATATATGTGACCCTGGACCACAAAACCAGTCTTAAGTCGCTGGGGTATATTTGTAGCAACAGTCAAAAATACATTGTACACTCTAAAAAATGCTGGGTTAAATACAACCCAGTGCTGGGTAAAATAGGGACAAACCCAGCAATTGGGTGGTTTTGTGGTCCAGGGTCACATATACAGTAGGTAAGTTTTTGGAGTTTTGCAAAAATATAGGTAGAGTCATATAGGCTATTTCCAATTATTTTTTAATGTTGTGCAATATTGATTTTGAATTCAGCAAAAAGAAGGCCTCTTAAAAGGCATAATAATGCAGTTTAGTGCCAAACATTTAGACCAGCCTTCACATCTGGAGTGCTTGTGATGCCCAGGGAGCTTACTAGGTTTTGGAACAGAGCCAGAGGTGACATCAGCTAGTAAAAGTCCTTGGAAGTGCCTACTGCCCAGAAGTGACATCAGCTTATTTGCTTCTTACTTAATAGAGACACCTCAGAGTCATCTGTAAGACTCTGTAATTATCCAGACAGCAACAATCGGAATCAGTGACCCTACAGGACTCTACTGGCCACTGCTGGTATCGCTAGATACAGCTGCACAATGACTTTTTTTCCAGCACTTTACTGGCCCTCACATCCTGTTCAAACTCTCTCCCGATGGCTGTGGGCTTTTACATGCTCCATTTGTAATGCTGAAAATATTCAGAGGGATATTTTCTGTTTTCCATTTATAGTTTATAGTTTTCCTTGGTTTCCACCAGAGATTTTTGACTCATTGCTCTAGATACTTTGAGATATTTTAATTAGGTGGTATTATTTTACTCTTACTGAACAACATATGTGACATTTACATTTACAGTACATTTAGTCATTTAGCAGACGCTTTTATCCAAAGCGACTTACAAATGAGGACAATAAAAGCAGTCAAAACTAACAAAAGAGCAACAATATATAAATGCAAATGACAAGTCTTGGTTAGCCTAACGCAGTACAACGTAGCAAGGTGTATATATATATATATATATATATATATATATA